TACGCAGACTTTTTATAAGTCTGCGCCTAAGCTGACTACGCTCTTCATCGTGTTCAGAGTCAGGTGGGATGCGTTTTCGAGCATCCATCAGTTCGGTGGACGCGACTGATATCCACGGCTTCATCCTAGCCTCATGGTTTACCTTACTCGAAGATATCACTGCTGTTTCCACAGCCTTTTTGATATCATACCAACCTGCTTCTGGATGGGAATCGCTTGCATGGTTGCTTAACTCTCTTTCTAGTTGCTCCTGAAATATTTTCTTAGTTTGATTATCATTAAGTAAAACCCTAAGAGGCTTTCTTACGGTGTCTTTCCTACGTCCAGTAAGCCTCAAACAGATACGAGCTCGCACTAGAGCATGATCTGAATCCAAACATGTGCTCCAGAACGAGCGACAGTCTTCTATCGAACCCCTCCATCGGTGGCTGATGGCGATGTGATCTAGTTGAGTCCAGCGTTGAGACGACTTCGGGGGTCGCCAGGTCAACAGATGCTTTTCCTTATGCCTAAAGTTGGTGTTCGCTAAGAATAGGCGGTTATCTGAGCATAGTCGCAACAGACGCTCGCCATTGTCTGTTCTCTCAATCGCTACATCATAACATCCACCTAGATGTTTTTCCTTTTCACCTAGTCTACCTACTTGAGCATTAAAGTTACCAGCCATTATAACTATATCAGAGCGCCTAGCTTTTTGGAGGAGGTCCGAAAGCTTTCTGTAAAACTCATCTTTAACCTCGTCTGCACTGCAGTCAGTGGGGAGTCCTTACTGTCCCGTTTAGTCGGACAGCGCACAAACGACTATCTACAGGGATCCAGTCTAGGAGAGATAATTCTGCCCTAGGACTCAACGCTATGCCTACGCCAGCAAGACCCCTGGAAGCAGCATCAGGGCTACCGGATACACGAAGAGTGAATCGGGCTGCTTCTTCGTTTTGATAAGGTGGAATCAGGTTAATGACTTTACTAGGATCCTGTATGCGCGTTTCCGAGACGCAGCATACATCGATGGCACGAGTTTCTAAAGTCCTAGCTAATGATGCCTGTTGCCCTATTTGACACAATGTCCGTACATTAAAAGCTCCAACATGTAGTCTAGAACGAGGTTTAAGGAGACCAGGAATGACGTTTCGTGATCTCGCTTCGTCTGCATTAGCGGTGCAGTGAGAAAAGGGAGTGTGAGTAGAGTTAGTCGTAGAGATAAGAGAGACATTAGGGGTGTTGGAAGGATTTGATTTTGACCAATTTGGTTTCGCTTGCTGTTACGGGTATGACGGCGGTTGTCACTTTCCGGTTGCCCACACCGTGGAAGGTTGTTACTTGAGGGACCTGAAAAGGAAGATGGATTAGTGTTGGTGCGTGACCGCAGAGCCCAAGGGACAACTGCTTGAGGCCGGTCACGCACGGTATTTTGAGGATTAGCTCCGTTCTTAAAGGCCCTTAGTGGGCACCCTTACCCAAGGAGACGGAAATCCGTGAGTTAGGGGAGGTGTGACATTTTTAGGGCCGACCTTTTCTAACCCTTCCTTCCTTGTGAGAAGGCAGCATCGCTGCAGATGCTGGTTGTCCGAGGGAAACACCTTACTGCTGTCATACCACTCTGCAGTCAGTCAGCAGTACGACCTCGCCCTCAGACCTTGGGTAGCTGGTTTTAGTCTCATCGTTCTCCAATCGACCAGCCTGGCATGGTAGGACCTGCAGGAACATATGTTCCAGCCAGTATAGCTCGGTTGGGTCATCACGATAGGCAAGCCCGACCACCACGTCAAGGTAGCAGCTACGGTCAGGTCTTCCAATTGTTTTCCGATTTTGCTTCCTCTACATTGAATATCTCGTGCAACGCCTGGAACCTATTGGTGAGGGCTATCCTGAATTCTTTGAGCTTCACGGTATCCCGGAGAAAGGCCATGTTAAAATTCTGTGGTGTTGTCTGCCCGGTTGTCCAGTCCTTCTTTAGTTTCAGTTTCATTTTGGCAACCAGCAAGTGGGGATCTGAGGCTATATCAGCTCCTCTCTTAGTTCTCACATCCTCAATGGTCCTTCTGAACTTTTTGTTGATACAGATATGGTCGATTTGGTTCTGAGTATTGTGGTCCAGTGACATCCATGTGGCTTTGTGAATGCGTTTGTGCGGGGATATTGTGCCACCGATGACCAGTTTGTTGAAGGCACATAGGTTTGCAAATCTCTCACCGTTTTCGTTCCTTCCTCCCAGCCTTTCGTAGAATTGATCTTTAACGGCGTCATTGTAGTCATTGGTTGGTGCATAGCATTGGATGACGTTCATTGTAATGTCGTCTTTCTTTGTTTTGAAGGATGCTTTGATGATCCTGAGTCCATGAGATTCCCATCCTATCAGTGCCTTTTGTGCTTGTTTGGACAGCATCAGTGCAACTCCTTGTGTATGTGAAGCATTTTCCTGTTTATGGCCAGAGTATAGCAGCAGTTCCCCTGAAGCTAGTCTCAGTTGTCCTACCTGTGTCCAATGAGTTTCACTGATGCCGAGCATCTCGAGGTTGTATCTTTTCATTTCTGCCGCAACTTGAAATAGTCTTCCAGTCTCCCACAATGTACGAACGTTCCATGTACCTAAAAGAATGGTTGCTCTGGTTGTCAGAAGAGGGAACTCGGCTTTCGTCACGCGACGTCATAATTCTTCTTCCAACTCCCAGGGCAGAGTTAAAATGGTTTGAATTATTTTTTCTGGTCAGCGTTTTTTTGGCAAGTTAGTTTTTGACGGAATGGGGTCGCCAACCCCATGTCCAACCCTCCTCCTTTACCCGGGCTTGGGACCGGCAGTAGACCCGAAGTTTCTACTGGCGGAGTTTTGGCCAATATACCATTACAAATAAAATACCTACCTGAATTTCTTTTATATAAACTGCTTTACTATTGTTAACAAAGTTTTAACTTATTGTTGAGTGTACAAATTTTAATTTGTAAGAGTCAGACATCTCAGAGGTATGAAAATCCGTTTTATTGACCATCTTAGACTTTATATACATCATGTGTATATCAAACAACTGTTTTTAATGAATCGTAATGGATCGTAGAATTCAATGAGATTAGAAGCATAGGATGAGAAGTAGTATTGAAAAATATGAAAAACAAAGCATGAAATGTAAACAAACAATACAAGAATGATTTAGAAATGACACTGAAATCAAAATTAGGCAGGCAAGGAATGAACAAAACTGTATCACTGTAATCGGTTGTGCACCAGGACGCCCATCTCTGCATTTTAATTAGGATTGTTAAAATGAGCGGTGTAATTTCGTAAATAGGAAGCGCATTTATATATCTATCTATCTATCTATAGTATACGTGAGAAATGATTTCGTTGTTAAATATGAACGGATGGTAAGTAGTAAAATGATTTTCATATTATAAGTTCTTTTTGTATGTTTTCGAATGTTGCAGATTTTCATTTAGAAGTAAGACTTCGATAGTACTTAACTGAAGTATGAAGACTAATATATAAATCTAAAATATTGTACTGAAATAAATTAGTCAATCATTATAGACGATGAGTCTGTTTTATACAATTACATAAGGTAAAAGTATATATCTATAAATAATCAAATAGTAACGTTATTTCTCCAATGTTAAGGGTGTACCTGATGTTGCAATACATAGATTGTATTAAAATACAGTCTGAAAGCTTTAGAAGTATCAAATATTGTAGTATATTCAACAATCGTTAATGTGTGCATTTACGTATAATGGATACCAATAAAGTTTGAACAAGGACAACCCATTACTGACGACAGGATCTCTAAATACCTTCGTTTATTTCAGAATTCTATGTTGAATTAAGAAGATAAGAATAAATATCACATTTAGGATATTTTTAAAAAATTTGTAATAATCCTAAATCAGCGTTTATTCAAGTGGGCGATTCTTGGGTTGTGGAAAATACTTTCGCGTTACTGAGATCTAGTGAAATGGAGCATTAACGACTCAGAATCCGAACGCCATGAAATGAAGTTAATAGCAATCAAAATACACAAGATAAGAAAGAGATTATTGGAAGCCACTAAGGAGGTATACTATTGATAAGAACGTAATGAGAATCGTATGTTGACATTTTCATACTGAACATTTTCTGCTAAGTAATTCGCTGACTACAACAAAGGTTTGATTAATAGCCATATCACGCAAAAAAACAGTACAACTGTAGTAGTAAATCTTCACAGTTAGATCATACTGAATCGGATGGACCGATTCTATTGCTGCTCAGATCATTTTCGATGGACTTGAACAAACATGCCATGAGAAGGGTTAGTCGTGGAGACCACCGAGAAAGAAGTAATGGGGTTGGGAAAAGGCCACTAGGTTAGAATGGATGATCAGTTGATAAAGTGGTGAAACCCATCAGTTGTGGTGGTTGGGACATGTGCTACGCATGTCTAAACACTGACTACCTCAACGAGAGATGTCATCCGATGTAGGATTTGGCTAGAAGAAAGCTATGGCCGGTCAAACCGAAACATAGCTCGAATACGTGAAGTGATTGATAACGGAACTGAGCCATGTTAGTAGGGGTAGATTACCTGTTTTGGGTTCGCGAGACAATGGACGAAAATTGGGCAGAACTAGAAAGGAAGGACCAGGACAGAGTAGGTTGGAGAATGTTGGTCGGCTGCCTATGATCCATTGGTGTAAGAGGTGTAAGTAAGTAAGTAAAAATAAAAGTTCTAGTGTGACCGTAAGCTCTGGATCTGACGGTGCTCTTAATGAGAATAGCTGCTCGGTAGGGGATTTTGATAATGTTAAGATTAATATATTTCAGTAAATTCGCTGTAATAGTTGTTTGAATCTTTACGTGTTTAAATAATTAAAAACATATCAAGTATCTAAAATGAAAATAAAACTCAATAGAAATGTATAATTTATCATAAGTTTAAATCTTTTATATGGGATCACAGAAATCTTTCAAAGAAAACATCTTTTATGATCATATTATCATAGTAATATTTATTTAAAGAAATTTTTTTTTTCAAATGTAAAGTAAATTAAGTTACACTTATTGAAAAGTATTCAATGTTAGATATTTCACATGATTATTGTTATAAAATGAAATATTTTTCTTTGTTTGTTTTTTTCTCAATTAGTTTGTTTGTTCACCAGTAAAATCATCTTCATAAGCTTCATCATCAATGGTGGTTGCTTCACTGTCATCTGAGTGAACAAGTTCCACTTGACGTAGCATTGAAATTTTCGGACTCCCAGTTTTACTTGTAGAATGATCTAAAATAAATCGATAATCAGGCAAGAGAAAATAAAAAAAAAATAAATAGAGAATATTTTATGAATTATTTTTATTTTATTTATTTGCATAACTATTAGGCTTGTCATTGTGATTTAGGGATCAGTTAGTTAGGTAAGTAGTGTTAAATTCAGGTCCATTGAGTTATCATTAAAAGAAACTGGTATTTTTTTCCTTCTGTCCAATATTCATTCTATTTGAGAGGTTATAACATGAGGTGAATTGAGTCATCAATGACTGATTTTTAATCTAACAACTTCGGTTGAGAATCACTTTACCGATAAATGTTAATTTTTTTAATTTTCAAACTGAAATTTATCTCATCAATTAAATTGTAATTATGCCGGTTAGGTTAGGGGATTTGGGGTAACGGGATACTCAGCGAATGATCCATTTAGTCATCGCATAAATTATCCACATTATGTAAGATATGTTAAATTGTTTATTCTTACTCGTTATCATATTCTCATAGATGTAAAACTTTATGCGAGAAAATGTTAGTCAGTACTATAGAACATTTTTGGGTTAGAGGTATTATTAAATTTTGTAATACTGTATCTTATAGAAGAGGTTAATATTTTTCTAACAGTATTTTCAATACTATTTCTAAACAGATGGGATAGTTATCATTAGAAAATCTCTATACACATTGAGTTATAATCTAGCTGTTAAACGTTTTGTATTTTACTCATAAGTAATCAAATTCTGCAGTAATCATTAGCAAGTTGAACAAAGTAGATAGAATAAACAAATTCGTATTACTCTTCTAAGATTACACTAAAAAATATTTCCTACTTGTTTTAACTCGACACATAATCTACTTCATCAAAACAAATGATCTTGCATTAAACATTTCCATTGTTTTGAATAAAAGACTGAACGACCAGTTTGTTTAACATATATATTACTTTTCGACCATTAGATCCGCACGCAACTACAAAATACATTTCTTCTTTTGCTACAATTCCAAACCAGACAAAGGTTCCGGTGTAGTAGTCATGAATAAGGATGACTACATAACGAAAATGAACGTGATCCTCTCAGACTCTGCTAAATTTAAATTAGATTCACAGATCAATAACGTGAAGTTGGTCGAAAAACAAATATGCCGAGAACTACATTTACTCATGCTTCATGGTTTTATCACCGAGGCCCATTATAAAATGCTCAAGCCCATTGGTACATGCACACCACAAATGTATGGCTTACCGAAACTACACAAGCCTACAACACCTATGAGACCAATTCTGTCCATGATAAATTCACCATACCATAAGCTAGCAAAGTGGCTGAAAGAAATTTTGGATCCTGTTTGTAAACAACTGTCGACACATACTATCCTCGATTCCTTTGAACTTCTCCCAACTTTGGAACACTTGAATATTTTTAATAGTCGGATGTGTTCTTTCGATGTAAACTCTTTATTCACAAATGTACCTCTCGAAGAAACTGTGGAATTTATTTGTGACTTCATAACTTCACACAACATAAGAATACCCATTCCGACTACCTATCTTCGAGATCTAATTTTGCTGTGCACAAAGAATATAAAATTCTATTTCCAAATCGATGGAGTGGCTATGGGAAGCCCTCTCGGACCTGTTTTAGCAAACAAATTCATGGGAATGATAGGAAGGCAAGTGAGTCACTTCATCGATGGTATTACACTTTACAAACGATATGTCGACGATATTCTTGTCATATTACCACATTCTACAGACATTAATGAAATCAATGATTTATTTAATGCGATTCACCCGAATCTGAAAGTCACTTATGAGGAAGAAAAGAATAATGAACTAGCCTTCCTCGATATCCTGCTCCATCCCCGTCTAGACGGATCAATCAGACGAAAAGTACACCGCAAACCCACCTGGTCGGGACAGTACCTCCACTTCACTAGTTTCTGTCCCACACAATATAAACGTTCTGTTATCAAAACTTTATTCGCTCGAGCAAGTAGAATCTGCACTGCTGATACATTGAACGACGAATTCAAGCTTATTACTGACACACTTAAATCAAACGGATATCCCGAAACGTTTATTGGTCATCAGAACACAACTATGACGAAGCTGATAGCAACTGATGTGTCCAAGAAACCAGTGTACCTACAGTTACCTTTCAAAGGTGATCATTGCATGAAAATTACAACCAAACAGACTGCAGCTGCAATAAAAAAGACCTTCAATGCAGCTAATCTGAGGCTTATCACAACAACTCAATCGATCTCAGTTACCCCAATCAAGTCCCCAAGACCGATTCAGTCCAAATCCCACTGTATTTACCAATTCACATGTAACTGCGGAGAAAGTTACTTAGGGAGGACAGATCGCCGATTGGAAGACAGGATAGGGGAACATATTCCAAAATGGCTAATCAAATCCATGTTTCATCAACCTAGCCCATCATCTCAAAATCGATCAAGAAACCCAGCCTCGTCCATCGCAAAACATCTAATGATGAGTGGTCATCAAATTGACCCAAAATCAGCCTTTCAAGTTGTGACATGTCATCAAAACCCGCACACACTGAAACTACTCGAAGCTATCTTGATTGGTCGGAAAAGTCCAACTTTATGTGTTCAAAAACAACTGTATGTTGACCTTTGTTTACCATGGTTCTAGTGAGTGAATGTCATGTTAAATAAGAAATTTTGACCTTATCTTCAAAACTGTATTTACACAAATAACATGTTGCTTGTATGTGACTGACGAGAAAGCACGAAATGGTACTATCTCACAAAATATGTCTTCTTATTTCTCTGCTCAAATTTATCAAAGGGAACCACTGTTTTTACAATTCGAATACATAACATGCCAGATGACCTATATTAATACATTAATGGATTTCGAATTAAACATTTTAACATGACTGAAAAATGGTTTAAGTACGCTGTTTATGTCTGTCACCGTAAAGATTGTGAATCGCCTAATTGATACGCATTTGACACTGAGACCCCAAATCAGACGACGCGTAGTGAATACCGAAGATTGATGATGAGGATCTATTTGATCAATGAAATAAAAGAGAACGATATGTGCATACACCACTTTTTACATTTATACACACTCAAGTTAGCAATCCTATTTTTATAACTTGATTGAGTAGTTATTAACATGAGTACATATTAGCAAGATCATAGTGATTGATTAAAACACTGATTAAATTTTTCAGTTTAATTCTATAACATCATGGACCATTCATGAAAACAGGTCTGACTGAAAGTGTCGACATGGATGCATATCATACTCATCATAGGATTGTGAAATCTGTGGTGGTGTTTCGTTCTCTGAGCTGGTTGTTTTGGTTGTGGAGCTTTCATTGTTCTTCTGAACAACATCATCAGCACAAACTTCAGATAGAAGTGAAGCATTCGAATTTCTCCACGTTTGACCTGTAGCTTGGTCTGCTAACCTCGATCTTGATTGGTTGCTGTTGGCCTTTGACCTGTCGTTGTTTGCAACTTTGTTTTGATTGCACCCCCCTTTTGATCTGTTTCTTGATCCTGTGTCACCTATGATTTTTCTGATTGGTTGATAAATTGAGTCAATGTCGATATGTTTGTTGATTGCTGATTGGCCTGAGTGCCAAGCTTCTAAAAATTCCCTAGTGTTCTTTATCCTCCCCCTACCCAGTATTTCCACATTGTTCCAATCGAATGTTTTTCCATAATTGTCGGTGTGTATTGATATAAGCGAATCGTTGTCGTGGCGTTTGACTGCTAATTGGTGTTCACGTAAACGGAGCTGAAGAGGTCGTCCACTTTGTCCTATGTAGTGTTTTTCACAGTTTGGGCAATTTATTTTGTAGATGATATTTGGTTTTTCTTCCTTTGTCATTTTGTCCTTTGGTCTACATAGGATTGGTTGAAGTGATTCTGTTGGTTTGTGTGCTACACCTATTCCAAATGGTTTCAGTAGTCGTACTGTATGCTCCGATATGTCTTTGATGTATGGTAGGATGATGCGTTTATTTGTTCCTGTGCTTGATTTCGCTTCTGATGATGGTTTTGGTTGATGTTTTTTGAAGTTGCGTGGATAGCCGTTCTTTTGGAAGATAGTCATCAGGTGTTTTTCCTCGTTTTTTAATGCTTCGTATGTGCTGCAGTGTGTCTTCGCTCTCTTGAACAAAGTTTGTATGCAGTTGATCTTGTGGGTTCTTGGGTTGTTGCTGTCGTAGTTGAGAATTACGTGGCTAGTTTATTCAGTGAATATGACCTGAAATAAAGTGAAAAGCAGTAAATAGATCATTTAAAAACTTACTTGATTTTCTTGAATGATCTGGTGATACAGCAGTGTGTTTTGATTGATCATCTATGGATATTTTACATGATTCCGTTTTTAATTTATTCATCATATCATCAGTATGTGAATATGTTAAATCACTTTTAGATGAACAATTTTGTTTAGTTGATTGATGTAAATTCAATTGTGACAGTGAACTACCAGAAAGATTAGCTAGCCATTCAAGACTAGGTGAACGCATAATACCAATATTATTATTATTATTATCATTATTATTATTATTATTATTAGGAGATTGACGTATTTGTTTCAGCTGTTTTAACATTTTTTTCATTTCATCATATTCATTATGAGATAGTTGATTTTGCTTCATTGCATTAGAATTTTTTATAGCTAATACATGAAGTAATGGATTATTCAGTGGATTAATTTGATTAGAATTGAAACGATTACTGGTAGTTGATGCATGTGGAAATTGTCCTTGACTAATTTGATCTTGTTTTGATTGTTTAGTAGTAGTAGTAGTAGTGTTGGAAGAACTATTTGAAGAACTGTTAGTACTTTTAGATATACTAAATGTTCGAGTTAAATAATTCTATTGAAAATAAGAAGAGGAAGAAAAAATTGTAATTTTATTATTTACAAAGGTTTTTACAAGTTATATAAATTAATTATTTTTATAGAATGTAGTGGTGACTGAGTATTTTAGGTGTTCTTATTTTTTTTTAGGAAAAAAATGTAGTAAGTACACATTTTCATATTAATAGATTACTGGGAAAAAAATATCACTCAGATGAATTCATAATATTATGTAGAAAATGACAATAGAACAGGAATAAAATCTACTCCAATAAATCAACATAAAAATAGTATTTTTTTTTCTTAAGGATACAGTTCATATCAAAAAGCAACCAAGAGAGATAACTATCAGTTTAAATATATAAATGTAGTTTGAGAATAATGGTATTCACGGTGGAATTGTGATAGATCAATAGATGTTCTGTTCATTGACCGGCCAACTCTTCAAATTTTTTACATCCAATCCCAGATATGCACATATTTATGTAATTTTAAACATCACGAAACTATGGAATGAAACATTTCGATGAGTGAGCTTCTTGAAATAGTGTTTATCTTCTGATTAAAGACTTTTTATATGTAAGATGTGAGGTATATATGGTTTACAATGATAAGTGAGAAATAAACATGTATGTCAAACATTTTCAAAGTTTATTAATCAGTAATATATTGCAAAAAACGGACTGATTATTTTAAATGAAATAATACGCTACCAATTCGAGGGATTATTTATGCAAAGAGACTGAGATAAACCAGTAGTTTTTTACTTATTAAGTTTGGATGCTTGGTGGTTGGAGGTAGTGAACAGGAAATCATGGACTTGTTAATCCTGCAAGCAGGCATTCATAAGCAACTTACTAATTTACTTACACCTGTTACCTCTTGTGAAGCATAGGTGGTCGATCGAGATTCTCTCACTAACTCCGTCCTGGACATTTCTTTTCAGTTTTTCGTGAAGTAATGTGTTATTTAGTCTTCTTCCTTTCCTTCGGTCTTTAGGATACCAAGTTAGGGATGACCTCGTGATGTAGTTGGGTGATTTACACAATGTGTGTACTCTCACTTACAGAGCCTTTTCCCAATTTCTACCTCAGCTGGAGTCTGGTTTGTTCTCGCTCACAGTAGGCTGTTGCTGATAGTTTCTCACCTAAGGATACATAGTCCCTTGCGTAGACAACTGTCAATAAGCACTTGAATATTCTGGATGATAACAACTGCACAACACTTGGTTAACTCCACTAAAACTTTGCGAAGTCTATTTCAAAGCTCTTTAATTGTAAACTTTTTCGAATTGCAATATAATATTATCGTATGCCTAAGAATTCGAATCGTACATTAAATCTTACCCAAAAAGATTGTGCTAATCTGGGCTGTAAATTTTTTTTGTACTTGGTCAAATTTTCTAAGTAAACACTTTGTCTGTTCAAATTTCACGTCAATATTAATTATATTAAAGGTAATGATTGTGATTCAGGTAGCAGTTTGGTAAGAATGAGCGTAAACAATTTAGCATAAATCTAAGAAAATCGTTGTATTTTAAATACTATCGTACTACATCATTCAGAATAAAAAGACAGAAACAACGTAACACGTTGCGCGGAATTAAGTGTAAATCACAGCCGGTACGAATGAGTTATACTGGATCAAGTTTTAATTCAATAGAACATTCATAAGTTCTATCTAGAAATTCATTATATAGATCAAGTGTGTCGATGTATTTAATCTTCATATTTATATTATTATCATTGAAGACGTTTTCATTCATGTAGGTGTTAGTAATAACACAAAACACTTAAACGGAATTTGTAAACTGTTAATAATATAGCGTGACTTACATTTCTTTTCGTTGTTGAACTTTGAATCGGTTCCATTTTGGACATAATTAATTTCAGCTTATTATATGACACCGGGTTTGGTGCTTCACCTACGGACCGATCTACCAGCCACATTCCATCACTGAATGTATCTGGTGGAGTGAGACTGAATGGTTCAGTAAATGATGAACTTCGTGTTTCTATTAAAGCAGTTGAATTGGAATTCAATGACTGTGAATTGATTGCAGTTGATCTCTCAGAAACATTTTTTTCCGATGGATATTTCATTTGTGGACTTAGTGGGAATGGTGAAATCATGACAGATTTTTGTCTATTTATCAAAATAGAATGGATTTTACTCAATCAATGTAAAGTATAACAAGAGTATGATCAATATTTTAAAACGAATGATCATATTATTATTATAAAATATTTAGTGTGACTCAAGTAATTTTAACATGAATCAAGTATTTAGTAATTCAGAGCACTGATAGATGATATAACAAACCTTTTAACCAATGAAAAAGAACAAAAGAGAGATTTAAATGGAATTTCCTCTCTAGACTGGTTTATTTTCTTACATATGTCAGAGAAAAAATGCAGGTAGAGGCTGATTTTAATTCGCTGGTATTTCAAACTAAGTCAGATAAATTCCCAAGTCTCTGTTTTAGAAGATCATTGTCATATTACTAATTAATCAAACGAATTTGTTATGTTCGAAAAACACATATTTGATCTCAGCAATATCTACGTGGTACTGTTGACTAATTACTATTGCGATTTTCAAGATACATAAATATGTACATTTACATGCCAATGTATACCTAATAATTTATTTGAGATACACGAATAGGGAATTTATTTGCAGTACCATACAATGATATTTGTATCAAAATGAAAATGCTGAAAATGATCAACCTGAACAGAGAGCATAGTAGACAAATGTCTGTTCTTAAAACTATGATGAACATTGTATTTGAACATTTTTGAATAATTTGGCTCCTCACTGGTGAATTAACCAATAAAATTTAAAGAAAGAAGAAATACAGGCTACAGGGAAATGAATCAAAGTAGAGAAATGAATATCTATACATTAAATTGGTTTGTAATGTAATTACTAATGAAGGGATTGTGTTAATTAGTCAATCATTAATTTATTATCGATTTATGATATAAATTATAATTTTATGATAATTAAAATAAAACAATCCCACTGTAAGATTATCATAGCCAGCAGTTGTAATACTTTTCGAATATCAAAAGTAAAACAAATGTATTTTTACACAGACCAAACATATTCGAACGGCTGGTCTGAACTTCTAATCAAACAGGACAATGCAACTTGTAAAAACTTTTCAAAAAGACACATTTTAGTTACATCTGGCTACCAAACTAGGTTTCAGATAATACAATTTTCAGGAATATAGAGTCGATTTACATGACTGATTTAAAAAATCCGACAACTTTCACTCGTATACATAAACACACAATATTCACAGAGATAGTTTTAGCAATGAGTGGATAATTATGATTTCTTATTTCTTGGGTAGATCCATTATGTATGATAGTTGTGCCTATAAGCATAGAGGTTGTAAAGGCTAAATTTACGTGAAATTGAAATGAATACACAATAGGAATTAATTGCTTACTTGACAGGACTTGAAGATTGAGAACGTAATTTAGATTGAAGACTGAGATTATCTCCAAATGATGGTTCAGGTGTAGAAATATAACGTCTATTAGTTGGTGATGATCGTGGATTTCTAAAAATACTTTCTTCGTCTGGATTGTATGGTTGCCAGTTTGATACTGGTTCTGGTGTCTGAGATCATGATAAGAATTTAAAATAAACAGAGTTCACTAGTATTAATTGTAAAAAGTATAAAATATAGACCAAAATATTGAAATGGTGTTAAAAATTATTAACTTGATGTACAATTAGTTCTGTACAATTTAAGCTTCGGTAATATGATCAATATATATTATTATCATAAAGTATATCCATAATGTATGGTTCCATGAAAAGATAATCAGTCAGTCAGTCAGTCAGTTACAACGTAAAACCTCGCACATGAGTACATAAGTTCAGGTTGCCTTACTGGATCAGCACAGAGACGCAACTATCAGTTCAAATCCCATAGTGGTATACTTCAGTGAGATAACTTTAGAAAGAGAAAGATATAAATGATGAGGAATTCAGGTTATAATTAGAGAGAACACAAAGAGTGGATGCACTTGCGCCGTTGCAAACGATTTTGAGCCATGTCGTTCAAGGTCTCTAACCATCGGTGACTTTCGTCTCGCGGACCCCCAACCAGGTAGCCTACTATATCTACCAACATGACTCAGTCCAATAGTATGTGACTTTGTGGATTTGTGCCATGAAAAGATAATGATAATATATGTGTTTATAGGTAGTTACTTACTTTACGCTTCTTTTCAAAAGGATCATTTGGATAAGATAATTCACTTTTATTGATACTATCCATTGGAGTAGGAATAGTTAATAAATTTAACTGACTAGATCGATCAAGCGAAGATAATGATGGTGTTTTGAGATGTTGTCTTTCTGGTTGTAGTAGTTGACTAGTTCGATCAGGACTAGTTGGTGTTGGAGAAATCATTGATCCTATGCGTTCTAATAATGCAGTTTCAATCAAATGCTGTAGATTTTCTTTGGATGAAGTATCTACCATTTGTGAAAACAAAAATTCAGTAAATTGTTGAACAGCAGCATTACCGAAAAAAACTAAATGACCATACTGATTTTGTTTATGATGAGAATTTTTAACTTAACTAACGAAAGTCCTATTTTTTAGTAATTTTTAATTATATTTCATTTACAATAGTTCATTAAGCAGGTCAATGTAATAGGTTTTGGACTAAAATGCGAATTTAAACTTAAACAGTGGGGACATAGTTTGGATCTGTTGATCAAAAGATTCAATGTTTAAAATAATGAGTCATTACTTTAAAATGTGGAACTATGTTTGAAGACAATATCAAATTCATCATTTCATCATCAATTGTCTTTCATCAGTTGTCAGTTTAACTGGGGGAATCGCCGAAAACTACGATGTACCTAACGGTTGTTTCGTCGTTAGTTGGAACACATCAACATTGCGTGAACATATGTTGAACTCAAGTCATAGAAGACTTGTGATGAGAACGATTCCATTTAGCTATCTAATGAAAATTCTATGGTTTTTGTATTTACAGATTTGACCAAATTGTGATACAATGCGGTCATTATCCAATATTTCTTTAGAAAATGTCAGTCTGTAAAGAAAATTCTTAACAAATTGTTGGAATTGTAGATATACATTTATTAAAATCTCACCATGACTTTGCAATTGATTTTTAGCTAACTGATCAGAAATTTGTGAGACAAGACGTGATAAAATATTATCTTCTAACTCTGTTTGGGATAAGATATTAGAATTGTTTGTAAGTTGTTCAGTCGATTGATTCGATTGAAAATGAAATCCAATGCCTTTTTCATGAAGCAAACCAGATGTATCGGTAGAAATTAGCTTGAAAGAAAAGGTGAGAAACAGAATGAGTTATTTAAATAAAATCACTACCAGATTTATTTATAGACTTTGATGAAAATGATATCGGTCACATTATTTCAAACATCAGCTGATCATTTAATATGGAATGGTAAACCCGTTTTCCAATTTTCGCTTGTTAGTTTTTTGTGCATCAAATATGCTACTTATTATTATTCAATAGCTCATGTATTTATCAATCGCTTTTGAACTGCAGATTGCCAGCCAACGAGATGTCTCGGCTTGTAATTTTTGTACCGTGTGAAGTGACTTTTTTTTGTTAACTGAATAGATCATGTGAACCCTCGAATGTATTCTCAACAATATACTTTAAAATTGGATCTACTTTCTCAATAGAAGAGAGTGATAGACGAAATACTTAAAAAAAAATTGATAACTTCTTATTTAATATACATGAAATTGGAAATGTATCATTTGATTTGAACGTGTAATGAATAATAGTTCTGCAGAAAGTGTTAGTAAATTAATAGCAGTACAATGTCAAAGTCCATTTCGTCCTATTCGAAGCTCCTCATCTGGATGTACCTGCAACCGTGTTCATACTGTCACAGAGATTTGAACTCTTTACTTTTCTCTTCAGATTCCAAAATATAATTCTTAAATTTGACCAAAAGGTAATCATGCGACTCAGCAGTTTAACACATGCACAAAGTATTTTACAAATTGAACACCATAGATATAATCATTTACTTTTATCCCGTTTTCTATATTTAAAGACTTTGTCAATTCCTTTCTAGTATCAGTAAATTATTTAAAATAATTGTTCTCTTGTTCTTAAATTTGTATGAGTTTTATATTTAAATGTCAACTGTGTAATGTTATACATTTTAATACAACATCTAAGAGATTAGATCCAAGGTCTAAAGGTTTGGTACACAATAGTGTAATTCAAACCATGAATAGATCAGTGGTAAACCGTCATTAGAAACCTACAAGCACTGGATGCCTGTTTCGTCCTAGAATCGGACTCAAAAGCATTGAGTATCCACGATTCTCATACTCGGAATCAATTCATTATCTCAATGAAAATCAGCAATCTCTATAACCCTATGATGAAAATGGTTTTAAACTAATTTTGAACATTTCACTATTTCAGACAGTTAATTAAACTATAAGATATAGTTTAGAAGAGATTTATCAAGCCTTGAAAAAATAGAAGACAATTATATATTATGCCTAATGAAAAAATATGTATTACAATGAACATCAATCGGAAAGTTTCAGAATTGATGAACAATACTATTAATAATATATTGACACTAACAAAGTCAATGTTAGGAGTAAGCAGTTAATTTATTGATTTTACCTTATCTTGTTTTTCCGATTGTTTTGTAGGTGGTATTGAAAGTGAATATTGATACATTCCTAATGGAATTATGCCTGAGTTAGGTCTTGTCAATGTTTTAACTTGAATATTATTATTCGGTTTGTTTGAATGTAGTTTTTGTGATTCTGTTAACGATTCAACCGGTTCATTATTTTGATCATCAATAAATCGTACAACTTTTGAATTAGGTCTTTGCATTCGTCCTTGTGTAGAAGAAACTGTATTTTGTCATAATAAAAAAAATGGAAATATCCAAGTAAACATGTTTACTAGATAGAAAGTGCACATAATTTAATCAATTAAGGAGATCATAAATTTGTTTTAAGGAGAGTTCAATATGAAAATATTTCATTTTATTTTTATATAAGGAATAACTAAAGATTTTTTTTACGAGACAATTCAACTAATCACAGATTATATGTGAAATGATGAAAAATTACTGAAGATGGATTTATTCTTTGTGTATTATTAATTATTATTATGCCGGAATGCATAACTCATTCACATGACCGCAAATAGACTTATCCAATATAAAAGCTAGTTATCAATTATCAGTAGTATAGTAACGAAAATACAGAATGGGACGAATTTAGTCCATTATAGATGAAGCATTAGTTTACGTCTGTTTTCATTCACTAATTGCCTGAATATCTAAATTAATAATTCATTATTCAATCATTTCGCTTAGCTTGGCTTTAACGTTCACCAGTCCCATGAAAACTGAAAAATATCCCAACATTTCAATAAAAGAACTACTTTCGATCTAAAGATTTTCATTTTAAAAAAGTATACTGTTGCGATTACATAAATCAGATGTTGTGATGACTTTTATTTACTCAGTATTAAACCTATAACTATACACTTATATTATCTCATAACATATCGTCAACCATAAACATATTGTATTAATTTATCATTTTGTAGATGATTTCAATGATCAAATCTAATCTATCAAAGTTTGTTTTCATTCATCTCATTTGCATTGTGGATAATTGGAATAACACGAAAAGTAAGCCTTATAATTTAAAACATTTTAATATTATCATATCATGGTCACTCTAAAGATTTAACCAATGGTCATAATAAATTTGTTTACTGTCAACTCTTATGTAAGTTATATGATTTTCTGGTGTCATTTCATTAAAGCCAATTAGGTGACGAGTGCTAACAAGTGGCTCATTATCTAACTCCATTTTGGACGAACGACTGAATAAGCTATGAAATAAATCTGTCATTTTATTTTCAGATATTATTCTTAGGTGAACCCCGTTTGTGCGCCAGCGGATAGATTTATTTGAAACATTCTCGTAAACAGACAGACAATGGATCGCGAAACGTACTAGGCAAAGCAATGCGGTGGAGGCGAATGGGATAACAACTCAATATGGTCAGGTATGACTAAGTATTTATAGTCAGACAAATGCGAAGTAAATAATGCACACATGTAAAAACAACCAAGATTATAAGCGAATGACAGGTAAGGTCAAAAACCATGCGAATAATGATTCGAAAAGAATTGATTAATTAGTTTATTCGAAGGCTAGGACAAGCTATGTGTGCTCAGCATATTAGCACACACCACACATATAATAATATCAAAATGCTTTAGATTTTATTTGATATTCAAATGAATTTTTAATTTATTTATAACCAGAAACAAATGTGAGTATCTACACTTACTTCCAGCAAGATTTTCATCACTTAACCGTAACACAGCTGTACGTGCTTTAACTGGATCATTAATTGAACGTGGATATAACGGTCGTTTAACTCGTCGTCTGTTTAAACGCCATGGAGAGGTAAGTGTTACTGGTGATGGGGAACGATCTGTACTGTATAATTTAGGTTGGTGAAATAAATCAATTACATTTCTTGATCTAGTTGGTGAGCCACGAGTACTTATTGTATCTTTTATTTGTTTCGGTCCAGTGGTTGATTGAGATTTCGGTCGAGTGAGTCGTGAAACACGACCAATGGATCTGGAATGTTGTTCTAACTTCTATAAAAATAAGCGATAACGATAATGAATAATTTTTAAATTCAAAATAATAAATCCAACACAATAACTATTACGTGGAAAGGGATGAATTTCTTTAATTTTGGAAATGTAAAATCATCTCACTGTATTTTTTTTTGCAACGAGTTGGAGAATTTAGCTGGACGACTCATTTCGGCAATATATGTTTATGCAGCATATCGTAAAATTAAATGGAGATACACATGCCCATCAAGCAAAAACACAAGTCCATGATCATTTGACGTTAAATAGCCAAGGACATTTGCTTTAGCTACTATTTATTAGTAAGTATTGTATTCTTTACGGTTCAATTTAGAACGTCGTGCGAGTAAAATGAATTCTTTCGGGAAGTAAATGTTCATTCGATGATGCCTTCGAATAGCTTCAACATGTAAGTTGAAACTTTGGGGTTTACGCCTATCTTTCTTATAATTATCATTATTTAAATACTTCCGTTACCACTTGATGGCGGGACGAGTAGGAGAGGGAATTAGGTTAAATAAGATCTAACCAAAATGCGACAGTATGTAGCATGATTTTTAATTACTATGCTGACCGCGTTAGATAGTTATAGTTTTAGGTTGAAAATCATGAATGGATTCGCCTCAAGCTGTTTTTACAAAAAGATTTAAGTTACTGATTTTCTTTTAGTAAACAGTTTTATTCCCAACCTTGTACATTTCAAAGTATTATTGTAGTGAAGGAGAACACAGGTGAGGGCAACCGAATTGTATTAAACGAAAATTACAGAGTTACTCAGTAAAATAGGAAAACCATATCGTAACCGTTAATTTGCACATCTTCAATCCATCATCAATCCATTGTCTGACATTTCACTATTCATGCGTTTCATACAAATTGCATTGTGTTCCCACTCTTCCTTTCTTGATCTTCCCCCATCTTCTGCTGCCAGACATTACGTTTACACTCGCGTCATATACTACTTATAAGTAGCGCGCACCACACTATCATGTCGATGTACACAGTTGAGTAATCCTACTGAATTGATTTAATCCATTCTATCATTTTCTTTACAATTGTTATTTATACATGAAAAAGTTTCAGTAACTTATAAAAATATGTTTCAGATGCTTACTTTCTCATTAACAACCTTGTTAATCGCATCATTTATCATAGCTTGTATGCGAGCTTTTTCCACTGATGACCTAAATAAAAAAAATTCAGCATAATCAAACAAATATATTTAAACTTTTACTGTTTTTCTAGACCTTTTAGTTTGAATTACGAGAACTACTACTTCATTGAAAGTTAAAAAGCAATATAATACTGATCTATCTTAGTTACAGACACATATCAATCATTTAGACTGTTGATATTGAAACAGGATAACATTATCTTAAGATTTTATAATAAGTACTAAAACATTAAAACATAATTAAAGATAGCATTAAGCAATATTCACGTTTGCACATTCAATCATATTCTATTTATCTATGTACAATATTTATTATACTTACTTATCTTTACTTAATAATTCAAGTAATCCAAAAATCGACTGATCATTATGAGAACATTCTAATGCAGCAAGATTATTCTCTAAATTCATACGTCGTCGATTAAGTTCACACAATTCACTGGAAGCTTTAACAATTGGATTATCAGGTAAATTAGATATTAATTGAGTTATATCATTTGTAGGTGAAATTGTTTTACCAGAATAATCCATTACAAGTCGTATACTTGGAAGTAAACTACCAGGAGTGAGTACAGGTTGAGAATTTGACAATAATACATCTGAATGAGTATTCTAAAAAGAGAATTTTTTTTCAACAAAACGATTCAAAAAATAAATATGCTTTTAGTGCATTCATCTTATAAAATATATTGATATTAGTGAAATAATACAACAAATGATAATGCTGTGTATCAAACTATCTTAAATTTTATTTTTAAGATAATAAAATATTTAAGATTTATTAAAATTGGTCAAACAATTTTATGAATCTACTTAAGCGGCTTTGTAAATATCATTCGATACTATTAACTATGCAATGAGTTTAATTTTATAAATTCAAAGTTTATGGATGGACCAATCAAATCTTGACATGGATTTCACGCTTACATTACAGTTCATGTCAGTTCGAGATAAAAATTCTAATAATTCATATAAAAAGGTTCATAATTAACGTTCAGGAAAAATATACTAATTATAATTGTATCAATCGTTTTTAAAGAAATCATATATCGTTTCATGGTCAAACATTTTTCTCGTTGGTTAAAAACTTGTTTAAGGTCAATTCATTTCTATTGGTTATTGGAATTATCGCGTTGATGTTTACGACTGAAATTGATCAGTCCCTCTGGTATATGTGCATCGTGTGCGGAGTGTCTCGATGTTACAAGCATTATTAGCAGAGATGCTGGTTTCTTCTGGGTACGAGTCCTTGAGTGAAAAGTAACTGTGAGATACAGGCACATCCGGTCAACTAGTTCCAAGTAGGACAAAAGGTGTATCCTGAATTCCACTGATATCCACTATCCGTCTTTGTTACTAGTTTAAGGTAGTTAATATAATTTATTTTCACCACCACATATGTGGTGTCGGGTGAAAATCTCTAGACTGAAACGAAATTCCCAACATATTCTCTTCAATTTACTGAGGTTTTTGGTTGACACGATGTACTGATATTAGTTATATAACTATTGAAAAGTAGGAAGCACTGAAAAGCAGCTTTATCAAAGAATGGCACTTATCATGAGTGTACGGTCACTTAAATAGCAACTTTCCAGACTAGTCAAGAAACACGATAAGAAGTCAGGTATTAATTAAACCATATTCGAAAGAAACAATGATATTAGTATGAAATTTTATTCAACCTAATAAAAACTAAGAATTTTTCCCTATGGAGATATTCTCAAGGTGTTGACATTCATGAAAATACTTCCTTTTAGTCTTAGTTGAAGCTAACTACAAGTATACATATAGTTAACTACTAAAATATCAGTAACGGTAATTCACTCTAGCTGAATGAATAGATATAAAAACAAAGAAGTCTAGTTGATGAAGATGGCCAGTGTAGCAGCAGCTGGTGCAGAAGTAGGTATCAAGATACACAAGGCGAAATGCAAAATTCTCTGATGACACACAACATGCACCAACCATATCACATTTGACGGGGAAGCTCTCAATGATGTAGCAGCAGCATGGATGAGCGAGGTGGATTTTATGCTGATGTGTAAAGACATGGATCAGCATAGCAAGGGCAGCATTTCTACAACTGAAGAACATCTGACAGACAGTTTCTGTCTGTCAGTCAACATCAAAGTCACGAATTTCAATACAATCGTCGAAAACGTTCTATTGTATGGAGTGAAAACTTAGAGAACAACAAAAACCACTGTCCAAAAGATACAGGTGGCTAGGACACACATTGCAGAAATCTACCAGTTATGTTACGAGGTAAGTCCCAACTTGAAATCCTCAAGCCGAAAGAATGAGAGGTAGACAACGGAACATACTGAGCTGAAAATTGGAGACAGATATGAAAAAAAATGAATACCAGTTGGGAACAAGTGGAGAGTACAGTCTAGATCAGAGTTGGCTGAAAAAATCTTGGTTGGCAACCTATGCTCCATAAGGCCCAAGTAATTTAATGATCCTGTAAGTTTTAATTTAACCAGTGGATGGACTAGAAGAATCTTTAGTTGTAAATTTTTAACATTTAACTTTCTTTAAATTGAGTTGGATAATGATTAGTAGTGGAATTTAGAATGCGCGGTTCTTCCCATTTGAGATGCACTTGCACTTAATTGTATATGTTCCACTTTAATATTGAGGCGATAAGCTAAGAATGCACATATGACAAAACAGAATGGTTAATTGTAATCCTTAAAGTCAACAACAGGCAGACTCAAACAACGCTTACAATTGAATTACTCTAGAAACCGTTTTTCAATTCGCACACATCCCTTGGGAAGGTTAGCTTTAAATAAATAACTTGTAAGATTATTTTCGCACCTGTAATAAATATTATAAAAACGAAATGTCAAGAAAAACAAATTTTAACTCACTGTATCAATTTTCTCTGTTTCTTCTAATTTTATATTATTGTTTTGATCAACTCGGTGACGGACATTCTGAACAATTATCATTATTATGAAAGTTATCAATTTTGCAATAAGACAAAGATTAATAGAAAAAAATTGTAATCTAAATAATTATATGAACAATCAATGAAACATATTGCCAACTTAGTATGAACATTTAATTTCAAATAATACTTAATGTAAAAAGACTTAAATCCTCATTGAATGAAGTTGGTGATTGGTTGACTGATTTTTTTTAGTTATAACAGAATTCAACTGATCCAGTTACAGAATGGTTATTAGTCTTTGAAACACGATATCCTATGGACTATATATATCGAGATATTAGGTGATTCAGAAGTTCCTGCCGAGTTCAATGAAAATTTCATTTCCAATGGAAAAAAAAAACTTACAAGTAACAGTTCCTTTATTTCTTGATAGACCGAACGAAGTTCATTCATCATTTCTTTTGTTTCATCTAGTTTAACGTCTTGTTTAGAGCTGAAATTTCAAAAACAAAACGTTGTGTAAACTACTGAATATAATAACGTCTTGAAATTATCAGAACTGTTATGGTAAATTTGTGCAATGCAATTTCGTATGCATTTTAGTGGCCCGACATCTCGCTCCAGTTTTTGGGCAAACAATTAAATGTGCTGTGAAAATAAATCTTCCATTTAATTCCGTACACTACACTTGGGTAACATCGTTTATGCAACGGCGCAATGGATTTATTTCATGAAACTTTAAGCAAACAGATATGAAGATGAGAAGAGAAAAATTAAAGCAGTGCGGAGAAGGCTAGCGGGTCACCTCAATTCGATAACTAACGACGTTTTATGGTCAGACATGGAATAAAAATATCCAAGGTTATAAGCAAATAACCGACAAGATCAAAAGACTTATGAATGATGACTTGAGGAGAATGAGCCATCAGGCTTTTTTCAAAGGCAGTACAGGTCATATAGACTGACTTCATACAGTACTTAGTCATTCGTCAAACACTTGTAATTGCATGAATATTTCTCTCTCTCGCAATGTGTTGTCCATATTTATTCTGAGCAGTAAACTTACAATTTCATCAGATATTTAAGATTATTCAAGTTAACATTTCATATGAGTCATTTTTAAATATTACATTTCCTCTATCTACAATCTTCAATTCTTACGCTATTTGGCTTTAAACCTAGTTACTATCTGGATGATTTATGTTGATTTCAAAATTATAGAATCTGAAGAGAACTTTTTAGAAAGAATATTCTTCGTTCATTTTATCTCTGTTTTAATATAGTAGTTTTTAAAAAGTTAAAAGTCTTAGATACGAAGAAAGTAAATCAGATAATTTTAAGTTGTAGGTTCATTCATTTTTTGTAGTAAGCTGAAAATACATTTACTTCTAATCGGTGTATATAATGATAAACTGTACAAATCTTCAAGAAAATTTAAATTCATCCTGACTCGGAAATACGTTATATGACAAAGTGTCAGCAATAATGATACGCAAACCATTCAGAGCTTTATGATTATCTTCAGCTACAACCCAACACTGATGAAAACGGTAAACTTTGATGTTGAGATCGATAAATCCAACATATAGATTATTAGAAAGATATGAAATGTTCTAGTATAAAAACAGACGAATTATTGACAAAAATCTAAAAAAGTTTAACTTAACCACCCAATTATAAACCGAAAGAAAGATAAATAGCCAAAAAGTTGGAAGTCGTTATAATTACTAGGTGCTAATTACAATTACTCTGTTTCAAACGGCGCCAGAACCAGTTAAGGGGAGTGAAGGAGTTGAGCATGTTTACCGCTTCACTTATCTTGGTAGTCTCATCAGTCCTTAGAGCCTAGTGTAAGACGAGGTCCTTGCACGGATAAAGAAGGCTCGATTGGCTTTTTCCAATTCGCGTCGCATGGCGTTGGTAAGATATTTGTCTGCTAACCAAAGGAAGAATCTACTACGCAGCAGTTGGCTTCATCCTACTATTAGGATGCGAAAAATGGTCGGTAAGATTTGAAGATATTCGTAGGTTATTAGTATTCAATCATCCGTGGCTTCGAAGCATTGCTGCTATATCCTGGGAAAAATCGAGTAAGCAATGCTGGGGTTAGGAAAACGGTACTAGTAAATTATGGCAAACCAACTGATGAAGTGGTGAATCTTCATCAGTTGAGGAGGTGGGGATATGTGTTACGTTTGCATAACCACCGAATGCCTTAACGAGCGATGTTGTCTGGTGTAGGTGTTGGCCAAATCGAAACATGGCACAAATCCATGAAGTCAGTGACAAGCGCACTGAGCCATGTTAGTCGGTGTATTCCACGTGGTTGGGTTTGAAAGATAATCGTAACTGGTGGTTAGATACTTTGAATGACATGGCTCCAAATCGTTTGCAATGGCGCAGATACATCCATTTCTGTCTTCACTCCAATTCTAATCCTATGAGCTTTTAATGACCTTTTTTATATTTTATCAATTTATTTCGTTGAACTACACTTCAATCCGTAATCTTTTCTATTACCGCTAATAGTTCAACTACCTCTACCACCATGGGATTTGAACTGAAAATTCTACCTCTCTTACTCTGTTTCAAATTATAATAGGACAGAAAATTTACAGTACAGTCAAATACAAATCCACTGTTTCGTGAGACACTATCAAGTATTTATTTATACATATTTAACCTTTTCTGATCAACTATATCCTACTAAAGAGTAAATATCTCGGCCATTTCATTCAGTGCATATGTTTAGAATTTAATGTAATCGATTAAATTACCAAAAATATCAAAGAGCATTAAATCATTCATCATCCAATGACAAATCATTGTTTGTATGAATAGAAGCATGTAAGTATGGTTGTCACTTCTTGATTGCCCACACCGAAGGAAGATACTACTTCTTGAATTATCTGATTGTGAGAATTACTTGGAAGTAACCTTGAAAATCAAGAGTAGTAACTGCAGTGTCCAAGGGACAACTAGTAATATGGTATGCGACGTACATTTCTACTAGGCTCTACTTGGCCCTATGACGGACTCACTCGTTAACCAAGCAATAGCATGAGCAAGCAGAAGTAATATACTTCACCCTCAAACTTAAAATTAAAAAACGAAAGAATAAATATGCATTACTAAATCGAGAATTCAGTAAAATATTTACTTCTGAAATATTGAAACGCATATTTCAACTCAATGAAGTGATGAAACATAAACAACACACCTTCTAACATCAAAATTTATGCAAAAATTTACTAACTTTTTAGTTTCAAAATTATTGACCTTTTCATCTATTATAGTTCCAGATGTTTCTAAGTATTTTTCTAATTTATCCAAAGTTGTTTCCGGATCATTATCAACATCCTCATCAAAAGTGATTCGTTTTGTTGAGTAGTTGTCTTTTTTCTCATCCAAAGATTCTGATAAACTTTGACGTTGCAATTTATTACTGGGTAGTTTCGATTTATCATAAGATGAGTGAGGCAATTTTTGTTTAGAAATGACTTTATTTTTTTGTTGACATGAATTGGATAGTTTATCTGCAGTTTTCGATTCTGAATAATAAGCAAACAGAGAAAACACGAAAAGTTGTTAAAATACACCAGTTTCAAACAAATAAGTTAGTTATCTTAGCAGTAGCATATATTGAATTCCAGAATCTTATTGAGCAACAATTCGAAATCAGCTTAAATATAACTTAGTATTGATTATTAGTACACATGTACCATGGGAAGAATTCTAAGTAGGAGTGGATCGACTTAACTATTAAGCAACTATTTCACACAACAGTACAAATTTTAGTCAGGTGGGAATAAACGTAAACTTAAGTTGGTTATGAATTGTTAGTGGCTGCGTTGAACTAGGTGTTGCGATCACCACTTTTTACTGGGCTGCATGATGTTCGTCGTTGAGCTCACCATGTTGTGTCACTAGGTTAGATCCGATGTACGGAAAACTATTTTAGCGGCCTGCGATAACTCTTTAATTTATAACGTTTGAGAATGCTATGAAATACATCTCATCCTCAGTTTCCATATATTATACTTAGGCGATCCCGTCTGTGCGACGGCAGTAATTTGAAGCCAAATGCAGATTCAGTTGGATGAGTTTAACTCATGCAGACAGACATGAGAGTACGCAGCGTGAAAGCAAAGCGAAGTGGAGAAGGTGAGCTGGCTAATTCAATGTTGTGAAACATGACTAAGTATTTATAGTCAGATAAATATAAGCCATATATCAACAAAAATCGGATTGCGGTTAAATGTCTTTATACTGACATAGTCAGGTGAACTAATCTATAATGAAATAATTCTCTATATTGAAATATAAGCATTAACCACAACAGCTTATTTCAGCTTATCATAGATTCAAAATTTTTTTATTTGATTTCAGTGAATATCCACCCATACATGTCATGTACGGTTATTTCAACTGATTATTAATACTAAAAATAAGTCATTGGATTGTTTAGCTCAGCCATTCATTGCAAACCAAATAAATAAATCCTTCTTTCGGCTAAATACACTGAACACAGTGTGATGAGTCCTTCAAAAAGTTGCTTTATAAGAGATTTTTATGGATTGTCGGCCTTTATCAAATAACACAGAACTTAGATCTAGTTTATATTTACAATCCTAAAAATTGACACCAATGCTAAGATTATTAATTGGAAAAATACATATGGAGTGTGGTAATTTCCTAATGATAACAACGAATAACTGTACAACCCAAAAGCAGCTTTAAAATATTATGAGGTTTGATGAAAAAATTCTTTTCCTTTTTAAAATCTGAGACTCATTTGATTTTCATTTAGAATATACTATTTTATTATATCAGAGAACAGACTCAATTAAGATATGACAGGACTATGTTCTTATTTGTATATGATTTAACTGTCGACCACCATCGACTAATGAACTTCTGAAAACTATGAAAAACCAAAGGATTCTACAATATAGAATGGACTGTTAGTGAAAACAATCTCAACTTGACTTCAGATGTTCCATAGAAATCTATCTAGCTAATAACGGATACATGATTATTGTTTTGAAAGGTGGTTTTTGAATGTTAGGATGCCTTTCATTACTGGCTATTCGGATCTAATTTTAATTTATACATTTGTTGAATTTTGAATGAATCATTAGGTTACTTATAACTGCTTGCTGTGTAACGATTAATGTGTGGTAGATATTTTTACATTCATGAAGCTGTCGACTGTAAGAGAGAGCCACCTGAATAGCTGTAAGCTACCTAGTTGGGATCATTGCTATTATTGTCACCTATTGTTGGCGGGATCGGTTGAAGCGACTCAGAATCGATTACAATGACGTACATGAAATTACTCTTTATCTTCCCTTACAGCTTGTTATTAAAATATTACACATTTTTATTTATCGATCAATCAAAATAATTAATGACCAATTATCAGTGATACTGTTATTGGTTCTACTATTCTGGTATTGACTATGATAATTAAAATTTGTTATGCTGAGATAATGTGTCAACTTTAAAAGATGTACAAAAGCACTTAGTTTTACATCACTTAATGCATTTGTATGCACCTCTGTAAAAATGATTATAAGTAGACATAACTTGATCTACATTTATATGGCTTGTAGGTCAGTCCACCATTTCAGTTCCACGTTTACTCAACATTTTAATCATTCAGTTTATTACAAGAAAAAAATAAATGAATTAAAACAATACTGAAGCAAATATAAAACATACTCAGATTTGATTTTAAAGACTGTTGACCGACTGATTTTTTTTGATCAGATGTTGATTTTCCTGTGACTGTTTGATATTTTGACGTTCGATTAATTGATGGATGGAGATATCGTTTTTCAGTTGAATTTTGTCGCTTGAGTTTTTCCAAATGTTCATCAATATCACGTTCAATTTTGTTCGATATTGATGATGATAAACATTTTGGTGCGCATTTATCTTGTAGTAAAGATAAACGATGGCTTATGTCATCTAAATTATTCTTTGAATCGGTAAAAGAAAGGAGTTGAAATTGGGACGTGAAAAACAACATCATCAAATAGTAAATCTTTTTCCTCAGAAATACAAAAGTATGCAAGATTACTCACTTGATTTATTCATCTAGTCTAGAAATCATGTCTTAGTTGTATACTGATGGTTTATATCATAACTATTTTATGATAAATTAATAAATCAAAGTAAATAGCATATTTTGTTTAATTAGCTTTATTAGAGCCAGGGTCTGAGTTAAACTTAATGTTTGTATAGTGTTTAGTGATAGCTTCTTTCTTTACACATCAAAATCGATATCTAAAAGTATTCAAGCGAAATCCTTAACACTCGAAATATCAATTTAAAGAAAAAGTTAAAATATCAAAGTGAATGACTTTTTTACTGAAGAATGTAAATATATGATATGTCCTTCAAAATTCAACGTTTAATTGATTGACGTTCAAAGCTTTCACAGAACAGTGAACATTTCACAAGCTGAATACACAGAAGCAAGCAAGAAAGCGAAAAGCAGCATCAGAGCTGATAGACGTAAATATGTGGAACACCGAGCAACGACGGCGGAAAAGGCAACATGAGAAGATACGAGATAACTGTATGATACAACAAAGAAGCTCTCTGGGAATTATCGTAAAAAAGGCAAAGCGATCATCAAGTTTGATGAAGAGCGAAACAGGTGGGTAGGGCAATTTGAAGAACTCTAGAATCAACTGAAACCACACAACATCAAAGCAGTATCTACGAACCTTCGAAATGATGATTAGCCACCAAGAATTGAAAAGATCAGCGTGGTCATTAGACAAATCAAGCTGAACCAGACAACATTCCAGCAGGGGCAGTGAAAGCAGACAAAGCAGTAACTACCATAGGGGAGGAAGAACATGTACCGACTGACTGGGAAAAAGGTAACCTCATCAAAATACCGAATAAAGGAGATCTCAGCAAGTGTGAGAACTATAGAGGTATCACTTTTATTTCACTGCAGGAAAATTCTTCAACAGGGTGTTGTTAAACCGAATGAAAGACTACGTAGACGCCTAACTCAAGATCAGCAGACTGCATTCCATGAGGATCAATCACGTACCAAATTGTGACACTACGGATCATTATGGAATGATCAATTGAACGGGACTCATCACTCTACTTCAACTTCATTGACTATGAGAAAGCATTTGACAGCATGGACAAGATGATACAATGCTAGTTTATTCAACAGTACGGTGTGACTGAGAAGATAGTCCAACATGTTACGCAATTCTTACGATTGATTAAACTGCGAAATCGTGCATGGAGAGGACAGCTCACGTACTCATTCCAAATTAAAACCGCTGTCAAACAAGGTAGCTTAATCTAAACTGTTCTCTTTCTCCTGATGGTTGACTGGAGTATGAAGGTATCAACATCTCATGGAAAGCATGGAATACAGTGGACTGTTAAAATAGAGCTGGAGGATGTGGACTTCAGAGATGATCTAGCTCTTCTATTGTACACACAACAAAAAATGCTTGGAAAGACTCTCAGAGTAGCTGAGAGGTCTTAATATACACACGGCAAATAGCAAGATCCTCCGATACGACTCATTATGCAACAACCAAATCACATTTGATACAAAAGCTCTCAGAAATGTGGAAACTTGTACGCACTTTGGCCGCACCATTAATCAACAAGGTGGATCTGATGCAAATGTAAAAGGCGGAACGGCAGAGCAAGGACAACGTTCCTAAAACTGAAGAACGTCGGGAACTTTTAACCAATATCAAAGTTGGAATTTTCAATACGAACGTCAAGATAGTTCTGTTGTTGGAAAACTATGAAAGCTATCCAAAATATACAGATGTTTATCAACAGTTGTCTACGCAAGAAACTCTTCATCCGCTTGTCGGACACGGTTAGCAACGACCCAATGTGGAGGAGGACTAATGAGATTTCAGCTGAGGTGGAGAAAAAGGAAACTTGTTAAAGGGGGATAGGACACATTGTGTGGAAATCACTCATCTGCATCACCGTATGGGCTTCAACTTGTAGTCATCAAGGTCAAGTGAAAATGGTTGACGAAAGAGCACACTCTGCCGAGAATTAGAGAACGACATGAAAAAATAGGTTAGAAATGAAAAGACCGAGGACAGAATAAGTTGGAGTGTGCTGGTCGGCTTTCTATGCTCCATTAGGCGTAACTGGTGTAAGTAAGATTTGTTGAAATAACGAGATAGTAGTAAGTTAATTCAAAATGTATATCCCATGTTCAAATATTCCCACTCAAAAATTACTAGACACGTAAACAATTTATCTTTTATTTATTAAATCTTATAATTCTTTTTGTAACCACACACTATAAATGTTATATGTGTTATCCGTCTGCTGAATGTTTAACTGGCTTCCCCTTGGTAACAAAAATCTCGAGTCCGACGACACACGGTCACGGCAGCAGTCAGCAGAAATCTACACTGCTGTTAATTATTTAACATTGAGTGACTCAATATTAAATTTCAACGTGTTTTACACTGACTATTTTGAAATAACATTTAATAGATTTAGAATATTAATAAGTTAGTGAAAAAGGTTTTTAGATGCAACAAATTCTTTTCCCCATTTCACTTTCAGATTAGATACGGGCTTACACTATAACTAATATAGAATGTGAAATAATTTAGATTTATTTTGAAACAATAATTGTCATTAGTTACGGTCATTTGGTTTACTATACGGTGTTGATGTGAATGATAAATAAATTAAAAACATACCTGTAGTAATTTTTCATCGGTAAGTGGTTGTAGTTCTTGCAAACCACCTATTAAATTTGTAGAATTTAAATCAGCTTTAACACAGCATGGTACTGTGCATGACTGGCAACAATCTGGTTTAGAAAACCATACTTCTGGCGGAGTTTTCAATCGCGGAGATTCAGCATAAGTATGATTTTGTGGTAATAGGCATTTTCCTCCAACAAGGTCATGACAGAAACATACATCATTCTCATTTAGAGATGAGCGTGCATATTTACATATTTCTTCTAACTGTATTGATAAGTCTTGAACCTATTATAGAAAGACGAAAGTGATTGAATGCCAAGTCATTTTCAAATCACAACAATCAAAGAAACCATAACCTATCAAAAATTAGTAAAGTTGATCTTTTCAGAACAGTAAGTATACCGGTTTATGTAAGGAACTATTGTCTGACTGAAAAGCAGCATTCATTATTGAGTAGCCACAACAGGTACAATGATTAACTATTTGTTTAGTCATCATAAGTCATAATCTTTTTATTGTGCAATCTTTTTCATTTTAAGGATACTGCTAAAGCTGTTTCTGGCTGAAGTGTTATGGTGTTTTCAGAGAAGTATACATTATGCGAGCGTAACAACAAAAGTAAATTATAAGATTTGATAATTCAACTTATTTACAAACCAATCATGAAAGATACTTGATCTCGAAACACAAGGAAACTGATAGTTAGTGATATGCTTTGCGGATATACTTCAAAAAATCTTATAATTCATGCTTGTTGTAAGATGGGACTGGTAACTTATACTTATTTCAAATTGCTTATCAGATATTTAAGTTCTTTTATAATCAATAAATTATTAAACAAACTCAAATCCTTTGCTTCCAGGATTCTATTGATAGTTCGTGAAAATAATACAATCTCAATAAATCCCCTTTACTAATGAAAATCACGCGCCCACTAGCAACTAGCTTCAAAATGTATTTCTAGAGTTCTAGCGAAAAGTCGTGACCATTAGCGCTCGAATGGCGTTGGGTAGAAAACAGTCATCCACCACTCGCAATCGATAAAGGCTACACAATATCATGGGTTGATTTAAGTCAGGCATTAACACCAGTGGATGCCGACTCACTGGTCCAAAGGTTAGGTGTTTACATAAGAGAATGGAAGTCCTGGGTTCCATTTCCACGTACAAAAGGTCATGGATGCATACCATTTAGCAGTTCTATACCTGAACGAGACGGCTATCCAGTGCTTCCAGTTTCTCAGTGGTGGTCTTACTAAAGCCAGTTACTGATTTCAACTATTAAAATTCTTTTTTTACACTTACGTAGATTCTGTGGCGTAATTAACATCTTATAAATAGGTATCAATCACAGCACGAAATCGCATCTGTGAAACTTTACACGTCTTAGAACAGTTGAGTTTTATTGAATCCTAAATTGTTTTTAAAGATTGAAGCCAAACTAGAGGCTAATTTGTTGAGTTTTCAACCAATCAATTGTAGAGGCTTGTCAAAAGCATAAATAATGTCTTGTTACGGACACAGTTAACCTCCAAAGGTGGCTTACTTTTCCTTTTAAATCAATTGGTCCATTATCTTCATTGTTGCTTCCTACATCACCAGTTTTGTTTGGGATTGCATAAGTGACGTTGTTATTAGTACCATAATAATCAGCCTCATTTTGAATCGATAGCTCATCAGCAACTACGTCATTATCATTCAAGCACACAGGGTTTTCAAAAACAACCTTTCTGAATTTAGGATTAAGAAAATAGTATTTCTTTGAAAAAGCGGTAAGAACTTATTACCTGCTAGCGAGTTTTGATTTAACTTTTGTTGCTGTTGGCTGTTTAACCCTTGTTACATTGATCGTACCATTTTTCTTCTTCAAATTTATATTTGAAGGAATATACTCATTCATCAATCCCTGCAAATGAAATAATTCACAATGTAAGACATTTTCCCGTTATTAATGGTTGACAGATTACTGAGACGTTAAAACAGAAGTATAATACTTAGTATGAATGGACTCAAACTCGCTGACAACATCGATCATTATATTTCAGTCTGTTTAACTTAGCTTTCAGGGGTAGGTTCATTCTTGAATAGATTTTCTCAGTAACTATTTTTCAGTTTCGCAACAGATAAGAAAAATCCAAGTTGGTGAGTTGAGATTCAAGTAACTTAAAAGGCTACTGATATGTAACATTCGGTAGCGGTCTCGCTATACAGTAAATTGAAATACATAAAAATGCAAACTATCAGGTTCTGACATTGCGGTTTCATCAATCAATCAACAGCAACGTAGAACTTCGTACGTTCGTACATGAGTTCATGTTGCCATACCACATTAGCACAGAGATTTAAATGTCAAATCAAATCCCATAGTAGTAGAGGTAGTAAGGTATTAGCAGTTATCGGGGAGATTAGGGTTAGATTTTATTCAAGAAGTAGAATCCAGTGAAATAAGCTTAAAAACAAAAACTCCAGGATTTGAGAGAACGCAAGGGATGAATGCATTTGCGCCATTAAGTCATGTCATTCAGGGTCTTTAAAGGCTTAAAGGTTTCATGCTCTCTACGGGACTTTGAGGTAATGGTCTGATTTCTATGTTAAGTCTTGACTAATTTATGTTTAAGAAAAACCGAGCTGTGATTGAGTACTTTCGCAGTACTGTTGACTTTTCAATATTTCAAAGTGCGGCGTTTAGGCTTTAAGTAATTGTAAGGACACGGCTCTTAAAATTTCAAATTAAACAGTGTATTTCGTTTTAGAAACTTATGTGCTACACAAGTGAGTCGGCTAGTTACAAAAGAAATATGTTTTAGCCATTACGTGAGGTTTCTGAATTTCTTTATCTGACGTTTATAGTGATAATGGTTTCCTGAACGGCAACAAATTTCCAAAATATATTGAATAGTTAGGATAGGCGACTACGATTTGGGTGATTTTTCAGTGCGTTTATAGCTTTACGTCCTATCACAATAAACACAAACGTTGTCAACTAATGTTATAGTAAACATGGAAGGGAACTAGTCAGTAGGTATTTAGTAGTAGGATCACTAGTTATCCTGAAATAGTAACGCTTTCCTAAGATGAAGATCATGGAATTACCTAATTTTCATGAATGAAATCAAATTTTACTTAGTTGGATCAGTTTCTTACGTTTCCAATCATCTGCTTTGGCTTGAATGCGTGTTCTTCTTCTTAAAACAAGATTTATTGAGCTTGAAGATGGAAACTGTCCGAACATAGATGAAAAAGTAGAATACGTCGCCTGAATTCGACAGATTTTAGTCTGAGTTTAGAAGCTGAGTTCATAGAAGTTAGCCGTAGAGATTTAGTCAAAGCGAATAGATCCATTAATGAATTTATCAACTTGGATAGTGAGTTGCACTATGTGATGCTGATTATTGTAGAGCCAGAATTAAAAACGACTTGCGAGTTCTAATAATGGAGTAGCATTGATTCATGACCTAGTGATAATGTAGTGGTAAAAATAAAGTTCAGGCTAACTATATGAGACACACTTTATGTATGCAGGTCTCTATAAATTGAAGAAAAAGCGCTACTTGCCTCAGGTTTTCTGATTTCCTAAAGAAATAAAGATAGTTTGCTAATCGATTCTGAAGATCGCTAATTTCATTCCATTTTTCAATAAAACTGAAAGACTTTAGTTTTTAGAAACTGTTTTCTAATTAGGACAAGATTCACCTCACTCACATAAAGAAATGCCTACTCAAATATGATCTATCACAACATTATCAGGAACGAATTATAAAACACTCACGCTGATCATGAAGCCACACTAAAAACACAAATACACTTGAAAGCGCACGAGAACAAGATCTAAGCTGAAACAAGAAACTGACATGAACAAACAAATAACTGCCGAAATTTTGAGTTCCATGTTTTTTAGTAATTTTATTATTTATTTCTCAAATTCTATTTTGAAATCTTAAGAAACAAAATGTAAAAATATTATTTTATAAATAAAAGGGTGGTGGTAAGTTAACAAACGGATCTGTCATTCTTAGTATCACTGGACATCAGGTAAATATACGCTATTCTGTTAGTAGTATTGAAAAGTCATTTATTAGGCGTGAAAATTCCTGATAATTTCAGTTGGTTTCAAACGATTGCGATTAAGAAACAACCGTCAGTTACATAAAGCTTTCTTTTCATCGACATTGAAATCAGCGAATATTGCTGATGAATACTTGGAGAAATAAAAATCGTTTTAGGTAAGAATATTGCTCCTTCATCCCTAACTGTTTACCGATATCACGCTACAAATACAAAACATTAATAACAATTACGTTTAGAACCAGAAACCATGAGTCACTTGTAAATCCTTGCTGGTCTACAATCTGATAGCTTCTTCTACTCTAAACTGCCTCTTGATCCAGAAGTTCGTACATAGCCTCCCTAAAATTCGTCGAGCTTCAAGCAGACATGGTTTAAACGCCAAACATGTCATACCACATCACACCATAAAATGACAAACTCTACTTAAAAATGAATAAGACAGAAGTGGCTGTGAATAGAGGCGACCAAATAATAAGCCCGCATTAGGCTAGGAATAATATGTCACAGAAGAGTAGTTGATGGGTTACCCGAAAATCATAATGATAGGAATATGTGGTAATCTAGTTACTGAACAGTTGTAACATATGACAATAGTGATAATCCATAAATCAGTTCTGCAGATTATCATTCCTCTTACATTCTTCCCAACACATCACTCTGTTGATGAGTGTTAAGCTACTTCTGTAGAGTGCAGAGGGAGCATTATCACAGTCAAAAAAAATATGAAACTTAGGGAAACTGCTAGAATTTTAAACGGAAACGGTAAAAGGCAACTGATGGATGGAACTAAAGTGTCATGGATCGTCGTGCCTATCAACGAAAAGGCACCATAACCAATCGTTGTGGAGGAAGAAATGTAAGCTTTAGTTGAGGAAAAGAGACGCCGGAAATGGATCAAACACACGTTTCCAAGGCTGCCACAAGACAAATCTTCAGGATCCCCAAGGTTGCAAAAAGAAACGTGACAGCATTTTCTGGTGGACACAACGACTGTGGATAGTACGCAAAGTATGAATAGGTAGATCGAGTTTTCGATCTCATTAGATCATATATCTCATGCCTGAAAAACCGGGAGAAAACCTCTACAGGAACAAAACAGTTACGTACTTTTCCTTATCAGGCGTCATTTAAGTTTAAGTGCGGTCTTCTAAATAATATTATACTTGGCAAGCTGTTGGTAGTACTTTTATTAAGAACTAGCGTGCTGATAAGAATTTAGTGGGCATTTGGAGTTTGACAACGCATTAGTCTGAAACACCTTCACATCCGATGATCACAAGATTAGTGTAATCAGAAGTCGGAAATAAAGCATATAAGATATATTTGTGAGATAATTAATTTGTCAAGAAGTGTGAGATCTAAGCTGAAGAGTTGTTGCGGCGGGTTCAGTAGTTATCTGTTTTGGAAACCTGAACAAGCGCCTCAACCGGGATGCGTCCGGTGATAGTAATGAGGTCAAAATCTATGTCATAGGTTTGCAGAAATATTTACTATAGATTTTTTTACCACCTTATTGTTCAAAATTTCCACTGGGAACAAGTAGGTGTCCTTGCGAACCCAGTAGGTAGGATTGGGCAGCAGTGGAATGAGAATTTTGCGACACTGTTGTTAAGTCTGCTGGTTTTGAATGAAAGTAGCGGTGGTAGGAATTCAGCCAAGCATTAGGAGTAGATCCCTTAATGTGATTTATTTTCCATTCTTGCAACATGTTATTTTAGCATCATTATGGTAATCCAGAGTAACCAAAATTTTGTGCACTAGCTAATGATGCACAGTAATGTCCAATTCGTTCATCAGTAGTTCTTATTAACCATCAAGGAATGCAGGATGAACCCTGTGAGTACAAATGAACGTATTGTATTTGTAAATTGAGCGCGGAATAGTGTACAAGGAAATCGTCATTTCATACAAACACTGCGACCGCAACAAATTAAATACGAAAACTAAGATCTATCATCCATTTATAGACTCTAGACATTTCATCTTAAAGCTAAAAGTCATTCCTTTTAGTAATTTTGATAGTTTCTTTCGAAGATGAATTAGTAGCATTTTTGGTTTGTATCAGAAATGTGTCTAATCCATTCCCTAAATCATCAACTATCGAAGCAGTAACGGAAGCAGTAGTAATTTTTTAACATTCTGACGAACTTTTCTGCATGACCACTAAAACATGTACGTAAGTGAATAGCTTCTTACAGCCCATACCACTGAACTAGGTAGTTATTGCATCTGCAGCATGATGAGGACTATTGTGTCACCAATAGCACAGGAACTTGCCTTCTGAACACATTTTTCTCCGAACTGCGTCATTCTGGAGAAACTATCTGATCGTGATTCTTGTTCTGAACCCTATGGAAATCATTCTGATATCAAGATCTGAAGTAGAAAGCTATCGGGGGAAGAAAAATTGTGAATAAAATAAGAATAGTATATCAAAGCACCCGCTTTTGAACCTAGTTCTGCAAGAGTTTTAAGAAATGATGGCTTCATATCTGATCTATAACTATAACCGTCAACTAGTCATCCAAGACATTTACATTTAGATAAGCACAAAACGAGCATTTATTTGGTTTACGGCAATATTGTGGCAAACCAGATAATATAATGACTAAATAAGTCACTTGTAATGAGCTACTTTATTAGGACAATGAATGACAAGAACATATTGATGAATTTCAACGCCTTCAAGATCATTGACTATATGATTGCCGAAATATGGCTGAAGAACAACCTAAAACTAATAAAGAAAGATATGCATTTTAAGAAACTAAAAGGGGTTTTAATCAATCTCAAAATGGATAAACGGATGATAGGGAATGTCCTCGGCTTCCA